TGAAAAACAATCGGTTCCTTTCGGAGACGTTTAATGTTAGAGTGCAAGAACGACAGTGTAAGTGTTTGAAAATTTTTAAGTGAAGAGTGACAGTGGTGTAATGAAAGTGCATTTGTGTATAAAAATCAATCGGCTGCTTTCAAAGACGTTTATTGATAGGACGTAGGAGCAACAATCTTAGTGTGTTAAAATTTTTAAGAGTGACAATGATCGTGCGGTGGATTGCGGGGTTCCTTCCCTGAACAGAAGATCAGCTGTGGCCTACCTGCGAGCGGCAAAGACGCTGACCCATTGACCGTGGCCCATCGTTAGCAGGTGCACTTGCGAATGAATGGGTAAGTCTAAATCTCTACAGTTTTTACATTTCCTTTTTAATTCAATATTCCCTGCGACTTGTTAATTCCTCATTTATCCTATCATCATTCATCAATTATCAACAATCTATCTCATCCATTCCACGTGAATAACGATTAAGTGTATTAATTGTTATTCATAATAACAAACGAACAACAATTTCCTTGCATTGTTATTAATGTAGTTTGTTATTCGTCATTTTCTTAAAACGCTTCGTTCCGAGCGGAGCGCTTGTTCAAACGCGAGAAAAGTCGCCCGGCTGTCTCCGAGCCAGCGCTCCCGAAACGGAGACCGCCTCAACCGAGCGCTCTGATTGGTCCGTGTTTTTTGTTAATAACTCGGTAACCAAGCCCCATTTCGTATTTTACCAAAGGAAATTGTTGTTCACAATGCTCCTCCCCATCTGCCATTTTCGGCTATAACAATCTTTCCGGAACACCCTGTATGCGAGAATTTTATTTTCACAAAAAGCTTGTTTAGCCTGAATGAATGCGTTTTCACATTATTCATTCCAATTGAAAGGAACTTTATCTTTTAACAAATTGTATATAGGGTGTAAAATTGTTGACAAGCTTTTTATAAGACAAAACCAAGGAAAGCTCGTACTTCCGATTTATTTTTCGGGCGAGGCATATCTTTAATTGCAGCGTATTTTGACGGATCTTTATTAATTCTGTTTTTATCGATTATGTGTAAATTTGTTGTGTTCTACAAACTTAGCCGCTCGTGTGAATCATTTCAAATGAGTCGTTACGGGAAGCTACGTTAAACTGTCATC